CCAGTGTTTCATGTTGAAACAAATTGAGTGGCAATAAATTTTTTTAGAAAATATGGAAAAGCAGAGGGGACCTATAAAGGAACAAAAAAGTAAAGGTTACTTCCCAAATTCATTCTATATTTTGCTCTGAGAGCTCTGTCCTAAGGTAAAAATCCTTGGATGTTGTTTTTAGGAGACGGTTTTAAGGGAAGAAATGCCACATGTATTAAGTAGTAGTTTATGGTTATCCTTTATGCTCTGAAAATCTATCTGAAATGTAAGATCCTGGATCCCATAGGAAGGAGAGAGTTCCTACATTTAGGCTCTGATCTGCATTGCCAATCTTAGAGCTCCCATATTCAATATAAGTTTGGTATCCCAGGAATAAATTCAGAACCATTCTTCAGGCACAGCAGACCTAAACTTTAACACTACTAGACTCTTTCTTCACACTCAGTCCAGATCCCTTCGCCCACCACACTAGATGCTAGATATTAATTTAACTGAAAATATTCAGCAAACACACACACACACACACACACACACACGAGAGAGAGAGAGAGAGAGAGAGAGAGAGAGAGAGAGAGAGAGAGAGAGAGAAGAGGAGAGGAGAGGAGAGGAGAGAGAGAAAGTTACTCAAAATCACATGGCAAATTAGCAAGCTAAAAATGCTGAACTGACTTCCTATTTCACAGTAAGTTCTATCAGGACTAAGCCAAGCAACCACAAAGAAATGACTAGATCACTTGCAAATATTTGCTTATTCTACTGCTTTGGAAGTCATTTATGTTAAGTACTTATTTCTAGAGTGAAAAATGACACAGTCCATCACCTTTGATTTTCTTATGAAATAGGTTCTATCATATTTTTAGCTAAATACTTGTCTTCTGTTCTTGCCAGGGGTACAACCACTTTGCAAACTGTTACCTAGAGACACATGTTTGTCCTTGCTCTCTTACAGCAGATACACTCTGTAAACAAAATCTAAAGCTAAGGACTCTAGTGTGTGTTCCAAATGGACAGAGATATCCCACTAAAACACAGTCAGATCAAGCTACTTCCCTTGTGAAGATCCCAAGCTCTAATCAAAGACTGCTGAATGTGCCATGCTTTTACAACTCCATGCTGGTTTTCGCTTTGATGTCTTTCTCTTACCCTTTTCTTGCCTAGAAAATATCTGCTTATTTTTCAGTATCTACTTCAACCATTATATTTTTGATGGTTGCAAAACCCCAAACTAATAGCATATAAATATATATATACTGTATATGGCACTTTCCAGGATGATTAACTGGTGAAATGCAGTTGTTCATTGGCAGGTAATAAATCTTACATAGCTTATCCTCAAAACCTAGTGTAGCACCCAGTACATTCCTCTACTTTTACCTTAAACTTAAGTAAACTTATATAGAAATTTACTGAGTGATTGATCAAGATAAAAGCACACGTTTCTTACATTCTCCCAATGATGGTGTTATCAGTTATCTCGTGGGGGCAGACTCTGCCCCTGACTTGTTTCTACACTTACATGTCTACAATAAGCATTCAAAAAGCTAATAAAAATGTTTGTATTTGCAATACAAACTATCAATGTTTTAAAATTTGAGAGCAGAGAAAAAGGTAGAAGAGCTTAATATGATTATGGGAAAAACATATAATAATAAGTATAGTACTATGGAATGATAAAAAGTATCTGTTATGTGAAAAGTGCCTTGCATGTGTGAAGGACAATCATTAGCTACAGGAAAGGAAAAGAGATTGACTGGAGAGGAACATTCGAGAGTATAACTAAAGGATTAGATGCCTCTTAGACTACAATTAATTAAGAAACCTAAAAGTTTACCAGAATTTAAAGTCTGATGTTAAAAAAAAAAATGCTGCTTACAAAACTGTTATAGACCTCAGATTGTTCAGTTGTTTCAAATCCATTTGAATTTGCACAGGATCAAAGGAAGTAAAGAGTGTAAACATCTTAGCTGCTGAAAAACTCCCTCAAGATACTTGATGAGATCATTACCTGCCAGATTTTCAATGTAGCCTGTACTGATCTAAATTTGGGGTGAGTAGGAAAAGATGTTGGAGAGAATGGGTTTTGACAAAAGGGAGAGAAGGATATAGCAAAATACATGATTAAACAAATAGAAAGTTCTGGCTTAGATTTTTATCTGGATGGAAATATATCCAAGGAAGCTGAATATGTTTCAGAACTTAATTTGTTCATGTGCATATGAACTTCTGTATTGGAAACATGTTCACACAATAAGAAATAAAAAAATGAAGGGGGAATGAAAGGTTTCTTTGGCCAGTGGGAGAAGCTAGAGAGTGAATCACACTCTGTTCTAGTGTGCAGGCTGAGGAGGAGTGTTTCAGAAAAGGCAAGAGATGATTTGAAATATTCTCACATGGTATGAATATGAAGGAGGCATGGGAATCCTTATTAAAACTCAATCTCTATTTCTTAGATTCTTTGCTTCTTTTGTTTGAAATTGTTGTGTAAGAATTTTAAATTCTACTTTTGAATTGTCACCTACTCTTTCAAATCTGAAGAGAAAAAAATAAAAGTGACAATCATTAGCCCCAACCTCTCTCTGTATCCTGAGAGCAATTACAAAATCAGAAAGAAGGGCTTTCTCTCCTTAAGCAATCTATTCTTAAAACAGGTTACCTGAGGAAATTCCACAAGCGATCTTACTATTTTGCTTTTCAATAATACTGATTCCTCCAGTTTTTCTAATGTTTAATGTAAACTGCCTGCAATACATTCTCATACTATTCTATTTTTGTTGATGCAGTTACCTAGGCTTTCTATGCTCCAAAAATAAAATTAAACAGAATCACAAAATCATCGATCATCCTCTAGTCTCACAGGCAAAGTAATATTTGCCAGATGTTGATATATTGCCAAACACCTCCACCCCAGCCCACAGATTCTGTAACTGTCTGGTAATTCACAACTGTATAAAATAAGAAATACTTCTGTACATTAGTTTCTTATTATTCATTTTTTTCACAAGACTACTGTTAAGCTCTTCCCTCATAGGTTACGGTGTGTTTTTGAGGACATGTGTGATTCTTTCAGTTTTGTTCATACACCTGCTCTATGCCTCACAGATTCTTCCTTCTGATCTTAATAAACATAATCAGTAAAGCCTGCACAGAAACTATATTTTGCATTATACATTTGTGGGGTTTTCTTTCTTTTTTTGCCAAATAGTAAAAAAAAAAAAAAAAAAAAAAAAAAAAAAAAAATTGCCATCTGCTATTTGTAAACATTAACTTTCTGGATCTGTTATCACTCCATTGTTTAATCTATTTTTTCTTCTTACTATAAAGTGAATTAAATTTATTTCCATAAAGAATCTGACATGTCTAGCTGATTTCATATAATTTTATTTGGAATTTGACTTACAAAGAATTGAATGATTGCATTTCCACATGTATCATATAGTCACTATTTTATCAATAGTCATCATTATTCCCTTTGAAACACATTTCATTAGTTTGTTTGGAATTACTGGCTAAGAATTTTTTTCAGTTTTTCCTTGCCTTATTTCCTTCGTCTAACTCTTCAAACCACTGTTTTCAAATTTATTTTCTATGTCCACTCTGTTAATTACCATAATTTCAAAAAAATTACTTAAAAGAGAGAAATGTGCATCTTTTTTTGTTTTTCTAGTACTTAAAACAAACCATTGTGCCACAATCATTAAAATTAAAGTTGGCTTTTAAGAAACATTTTTCACCTTATTTCATTTTTGACATCAGATCAAAGTTTCAGTTCAACAAAATTTACTCATACATACTTCTTTGAAATGGAACTAAAAATTAAAAATGATTATAATAATAATTAAAACCAAAGAAATAGAAAACATGAAAATTATGCATATTTTATTTGCTTTATAGCTTAAAAATATATTTTAATTCTGAAAATTGATATCACAAAGTTTGGCTTATTTAGAATAGCTCCCACCAAAATAATAAAAGATTTAGCACTAATTCAAAAGCTATTCAAAAGTATAAAACTATGTTCAGATTCATCTAAAATAGAAGTGGAGCAGGATTGACTGAATAATCTTGATAATGAACTCCATATTCTGTTTCATTTTGCTTTGTTGATATAGTCTCTCAGCATGGAAGAATTGTGAAGTTTACTTTAGTCTCTTAAAGTTTAAATAAAGTTTCTAATAAGTAACTTACTAATATGTTACCTTAAATTAATTAAAGATTACCTCAGGTTTATTTTTCTCAAAATGTCTATATCCAAAAAACATTTTAAGACGATATTAAAAGTATGAAATTATTATTCATATAAACAAATATATATATATAAATAATACATGCACAGATAGGTGTGTGTATATATTCATGTATATAACTTTCAAGTCTCTACTCCAACTTTCATTATTATAATTGAGACTATTACTGTAAACAATTATTGCTTTAGAATTCTTAACATCTCCTACACAAATTTTCTAGATCCAAATGTTCATTATAAACCCAAAAGAACATTTAACTCCAGGAAAGTGTCCATTATAAACCCTAAAGAACATTTAACTCCAGGAAAATAACATATGTCAAAGTACTATCTGGTGTTATTTCTGCTATGAGCAGTAATATTTTCCTACATTTAAAAACCAATGAAATACATATTATTAAAATATAAACAGAAATTAGCCTTTACTCATAAAATAATATATAAGATGCCATAAAATGTTAAATTATGTCCCAACTTAGTAACTGAGATTATTAAACTGGAAGGAGAAATTGCTTTGGTTATCATGAACTAAAACAGTGATTTCTTCATCTTGGTTAACATATGATATTGAGTTTCAGATATATTTTACCCAAATTACAGCAAACCACAGTTGACTACTCTAATATTCTGATGTCTAGTGATCATGGAAAATGAAACCACAATCATAAACAAGCCACACATATCAAAGTAAAATAGATACTGATTAGACTCCTTTTCAGCATTTGTTTAAAGTACAGAAGATTAATTTGCCAGTTTGGTTACCTACCAGCAATGATTGGATGCTATCACTTTATCACGTCTACAGACAGCACCAAGTATAACCCCTCTTCCCATAGCATAAGCACCATGCCAAAGAGACACCCATCGTAAAAGATCAGATGGTGAATAATCTGGAGTGGCTGAAATCCAGTTAGTAGAGGAAAGAGAAAAGAGAAGTGGCTCAGTAGGGCATTTCCTGAACCTTGGTTGGGATTTCAGTTAAGGAAGAAGAAATGACACAGCATTTTCAAGTAAGGGAAGTTCCTTTCTGGATCTAAAGTATGCTACCAAATTGAGAAACAGCACTCCAGCCAAACTACTCCAGCACAGTGCTGTGGCCACAGTAAAAGCTCTCCATTATACAAAAGTATATTCCATTATTGCCCCATAAGTAACATTTCTGTCCAGAATATACACAAGCAGTACGTGGTTGTTATAAAAATGGACTTAAGATTCCACATTTATTGTGAAGCCTCACGTTTAAATTTTTTTTTTACCAAACTGACCTACACCAATTTTCAATTTTAAGAATTCCAGTTTTCTCACCCTAGCTGGTTTGGCTCCGTGGAGAGAGCGTTGGCCTGTGGACTGAAAGGTCCCAGGTTTGATTCTGGTCAAGGGCACATGCCTGGGTTTCGGGCTCCATCCCCTGTGGGGGCGTGCAGGAGGCAGCCAATCAATGATTCTCTCTCATCACTGATGTTTCTCTCTCTTCCTCTCCCTTTTTCTCTGAAATCAATAAAAATATATTTTTTAAATGAATTGCAGTTTTCTTTAGGATATTACTAGATTTTATTTTATTTTTTATATATATTCTATTGATTTTTTTCAGAGAAGAGGGGAGAGAGATAGAGAGCTAGAAATATCGATGAGAGAGAAACATTGACCAGCTGCCTCCTACACAGCCCCTATCGGGAATGTGCCCGCAACCAAGGTACATCCCCTTGACCAGAATCGAACCCGGGACCCTTCAGTCCGCAGACCGACGCTCTACCACTGAGCCAAACTGGTTTCGGCAGGATATTACTAGATTTTAAGTTTTTACTCAAGGCCATCAAATTTCCTATATTTCATATAATCACATTTTCCTTACATATAATTTTCATTTCAATGGTACTCCAGGAAAATATTTATCTTATCCAAGAATATTTTTTCTTCTCATATAGATATAAGGTATATGATTTAGCTTATAAGATGTCTGATGTATTATTTCTCATAATGCAGTATTTTTTAAGGGACATGAATACTATTTACTCACTGCTTCATAAATGAATCTTCGAAAGAGGTCTCATTCTGAATAGTAGTTATCTGCATGAACTTAAAAAAAAAAAATCAAAAGATACAACTTTGTTCCCAAACTATAATTTGTGCTGTGAAAATCTGCCTTCACTTGGTAACTTGATAACCATTTGCTTATTTGACTTATATTTAAAAACAATATATGTGAAGCAAAACATTCATGTGAATTACTGAAGTTTCATGCAAAGGTTACGTTTAGATTTCTCTTGCCTTTGTATTTTTAGAAAATCACTCATCCCACCCATGTTACACATGAGCAGAGTGGATTCTGCCATGCTGAAGGCATCCCGCTGACACACTGCTCTTGCAGGCTGTGGGAAGAAGGCTCTCTTCCACTGCGATAGTAAGGGGAAATGGAAGAACAGAGCATGACTGGCATCTGCTCCAAGTGCTTAGAATTGATCCTGTCACACGGTAGACAGTATATATTATAATAAATAACAAGGCTTAATACTCTTCATATTAACCTCTCCATCAAAACTAATACTGTATTTATTTATTCATTCACTCATTCATTCATTTATTAATAAACTTCTATTGAATTTCTACCATGTATCAGGCACTAGAAGACAAAGACAAACAGTTATTCTCATTACCCTGAAAGAGATTAAAATCTAATAGAATTTGGGAAGATAAGTTACCTATGGTTTAAATTAAAGACAGAAAAAAATAGTAATCTATATAAGATAATCAAAAAATAATAATGTAAGGAATAAAAGGATTATTTTCTTACATCTGATTTTGGGGTGAAATAGGATATTGAAATAAACAATGTGTAGAAAGCAGGGATTGTTTCTTTTTTAAAGTCAAACATATTTGGGAGCTATAAGGTCATCAATAATAGATGCTGTCTACGTTAATGTTTAAGTAAAAAAAATGTTAACAGTTCATATAGAAAAAAAATGGCTGTTTGCCAAGTGGCAGCTAACACACTTTGGAAATTAACTTTAAAAGTCATTCTGCAAGTAAGTAGAAAACAGATGAGAAGATGGAATATTAGCCCTTCAAAAAGGAAAAAGAATGCATTTATTGTTATTAGGGTTGCTTTCATAGGAGTCCCAAAGGATTAGAAGATGGCAGCAGAGTAAATGGACCTTCTCCCACCTCCTCCCAGAGTCTAACTGGAATTAAAACTAAATCGGGGCATGTTCACCCTGAAATACCAGATGAGGACAAGCTGAGGAGGAGACTTTTAAACTAGGGAGGGCAGAAGCCACCTGGAGACTAGCAGGAAGGGTGGGTAAGCAAGAGGCTCTGTCCCTGCTCCTGGAGCAGAGGGCCAAAGGTGGGGAGGATCCCCCAGAGAGGAGAGAAGCCTGGACTCCAGGAAGGGCTCCCAAGTCTGGATACTCAGAGCCGGGATCAGCCACCCACACAGCAACCTGTCAGCCAGGGAGCTGAGCCCTTGGAGATAAACCCACTTTTTTTTCAAGGGCTGGCACATAGGATTTTCCTTTTCAGACACTCATGGTGGGTTTCTGTAGAGGGAGAGCAGTGCCTACTGAAGATGCCAGGGGAGAGACGGGAGGAAGGAACTAGGGAGAGCAGCAGAGAGGGTGGCAGCCAGGAGACCTGTGCTGAGCCATCCCCTCCAATATTTTAGCAGCCTTTTCTACCAATGCTAAAAAAAAAAAACCGCCTAGGAGCTCAGCTTGGCCAAGGGCAGCGAAGCCCAGTGGAGGCAGCCACAAGCTGTGGGTCACTTGCAGCTTTGAACAGGGTGCTAAGAGCCAAATGTGGGCAACTTCTGACATTGGCTAGCAAAACTGTATCTCCAGGGTGTTCTGAAACCAGGATATCAAACAGCCTCGGGCAACACAAGAGCAGGATATAATACAAAGGGAAATCCAAACTGAAATCTGTCCGAACTTCACGTGGTTGGTTTTTTTGTTGTTTCTTTTTCTTTTCTTTTTTTTGGCTTTGGTATTATTATTATTGTTCTTTTTTCTTTCTTTTTTTCTTGTTTCTTTCATATTTCTTATTTGCCTCTTTCCTTTTTTATTCTACTTACTTTTTTCTTTTCTTTATCCTCTTTTTACCTTTCTTTTCTTTCTTTTTTTTTGTCTTTTAATAATTTTTTCTCTTCCTTCTATTATTTTGTTTTATATACTTCATTGATTTTTTTTTTACAGAAAGGAGGGGAGAGGGATAGAGAGTTAGAAATATCAATGAGAGAGAAACATTGATCAGCTGCCTCCTGCACACCCCTTACTGGGGATGTGCCCACAACCAAGGTACATGCCCTTGACCAGAATCAAACCTGGGACCTTTCAGCCCACAGGCCAATGTTCTATCCACTGAGCCAAACAGTTAGGGCTCTTCTATTCATTTTAATGGTTTTTCTTTTAATACTCTTTATTCTTGTTTCTCTTTCTCCTTTTAAGAATTTTCCTCCCCTTTTCTGGTATTCTTCTTTTATATTATTATTATTATTATTATTATTATTATTAATTTTTTCTTTGCTTTTCACTTACTATCCTTGTTATCTTTTCCCTTTCCCAATTCTCTTTTATTTTATGGTTATTTTGCTATTGTTGTCTGGTTCTTTTCTATGTTTCCACTTGTTTTCTGGTTTGTTTTGTCCTGTCAGGACCTGTACAATAGCTCACATAATGTGGTTGGTGTTGAGACTCATAGTTAGCCAGCCTGATAAAAGATCTCACCCAAGAATGGGAAAACAACAATCCAGACCCAATTACAAGAGGAAAACCCAAATGATCTACAAAAGGGTCCCTCCTAAAGCATCCAGCACAGGAGTTTAATGAAACCACATCACTGGGTCCCACAAGACATTACTATAAAAGGACACCCCACAAAGAATAGGAGACATGGTAGTTATATCTAATACATGGAGACAAACACAAAAAGACAACTAAAATTGAGAAACAAAGAAAAAAAACAACACTCCAAATTAAAGAAAAGAAGAAATCTTCAGAAAAAGACCTAAATGGAATGGAGGTAAGCAATTTATCAGACATAGAGTTCAGAGTAATGGTTATAAAGATGCTCAAGGAACTTAGTGATAACTACAATGAACATAGTGGGAACTACATCATGAAAAATTACATAAAAACCATGAATAAGAACTAGTGAGAAATGAACACTAATATATCCGACATCAAGAGTTCACTAGAAAGAATTAGAAGCAGGCTTGATGAAGCAGATTGAATCGGAAATATGGGAGATATGGTAGAAAATAAAAACACTAAGTTAGAGCAGTAAAAATAAAAAATAAACACTCTTAAAAAGCATGAGAAGAGTTTAAGGGAACTATGGGACAACAAGAAACAGAACAACATTCACATTGGGGTACCAGAGGGAAAATAAGTTGAGTAAGAGATAAAGAACTGTTTGAGGAAATAGTGAAAGAAAATTTCCCTAACCCAATGAAGGAAAAAAGCCACATAAGTTCAGACAGCACAGAGAGTCCTAATCAAGTTGAACACAAAGAGACACATCATAATTCAATGGCAAACATTAAAGACAAAGAGAGAATCATAAGGGCAACAAGAGAGATCCAGGCAGTTACTACAAGAGTGTTTCCATAAGGCTGTCAGCAGATTTCTCAACAGAAGCACTGCAGGTACAATAGGAATGGCATGAAGTATTCAAAGTATTTAAAAGCAAATATCTGAAACCAAAACTATTTTATTCATCAAGGTTATCATTCAAAATTGAAGGTGAAATAAGGAACTTCCCAGACAAAAGAGACTAAATAAGTTTGTTACCACTAAACAAGTATTGCAAGATATGCTTAAGGGACTGTTGCAAGAAAAAATAGAGAAAGGGGAACACAGGCTTAGAGAATAAAAATGGCATGTGAAGTTTCCTCAAAAAATTAAAAATGAAACTTCTATTTGACCCAGTGATCCCACTTCTAAGAATATATCTTAAGAAGCTAGAAACACAAATCAGGAAGAACATATGCACTCCTATCTTCACAGCAGCATTATTTATAATAGCTAAGATCTGGAAACAGCCCTGTGCCCATCAGTAGGTGAATAGATGGATTTAATTAATATTTACAAAACATTTCATCCCAAAGTTTCCAAATACACATACTTCTGAAGTGCACATGAAACATTCTCAAACATAGATCACATGGTAGGACAAACAAACCAATGTTATAAGTTCAAAAAGATTGAAATTATATC